CTTTCCCAATGTTAAAATCTGGTCACCTTATATTAAACAGAACATAAAGGAGGAAGAGAATGCTAGTGGAAGTACCAGGAAAGATTTTGCTAAATAGGAGACATCTGTACTAGGTCTGGAGCCTGAGCTGGATTTTAACGATGCAGTTGATTTTCTAGGCAGCATGAACAACATTGATAAAGCTGTGAGTAATTAAAATGTGTGTCCTTCCAGGGGAAATTTAGAAAATCAGGTGCATTGGGAGATGAGACTAAAGTGTCAGGGCATGGGCAGCACCTGTGGCTCAAGAGGTAGGGCACTGGCCCCAGATGCTGGAGGTGGTGGTTTCAAACCCAGCCCTGGCCAAAAATATAAAAAAAAAAAAACTGCAACAACAACAAAAAAATGTCAAGGCCATGCTAAGGATTTGGGTTTTATTATCTTTCATCATATTTATTTGTTTGTTTATTTATTTACTTTTGAGAAAGACTCTCACTCTGTCAGCCTGGGTAGAGTGCCATGGCATCATCATAGTTCAAGCAACCTCAAATTCTTGGGCTCAAATCCTCTTGCCTCAGTCTCCCAAGTAGCTGGGACTACTAGGTTTTCTATTTTTAGTAGAGAATAGACCAGCTCTGGCTGGTCTCAAACTCCAGAGCTCAAGCAAGCCACTGCTCTCAACCTCTCAAGAGTGCTGGGATTACAGCATGAGCCACTGTGCCTGACCCAGGAAAGGCAAATCTTACCTGGTGAACACTAAATCTATTACCCAACAATTTCCAATTGTTCTTCAAAGTTTCCTTACTTCCTGTTGTTTTATTTTACACCAGAAGAAACTTTACTATGTCTCCTTTTCAGTATTCCTGAATAGTACTTTCACTAATTTTTTGTAATGGCCTTTGGCCAAAAGTAATAAAATCTCATCCTATTCATATTTTTAAAAAATCATTTTTTGTCTTTTTGTTCTTCTAACCTTTTCAATTATACATGCAGAGAGTTATAATCTCATCCCCAACTTTTATGCACTTTTAAGTGA